GGTAAAATTAATAGAGTTGTACTTTGATCTAAAGGAATAACTGTTCAGCACATATTAAAAATCCCTGAGAGATTATTTGAGTGAGTTTATATATTTAAGTTAGAATATAAAATAGACTTACCGTAGATATTAGTTGTTTAATAATATCCATAATAATATTAACCAATTACTTTTCGCTATCATTATGTATTTTGCTACATATTTAATCTTGGTATTAATGCACAAATAGATGCTATTTTGCGTTATGCTTAATGAATGCACTTTCTGTATAGTATCAATGATTAGAAAACTGATTATGAGTTAGTATTATTGGGATGATGATCGGGATGTTTTAGTATAGAAAATCTTCTGCAAAATTTAATTTACATATCATAGTACATACATTAAGAATGATTTTTATGATAACATATTGTGCATTAGAAAAATAAAAAGATGTTTTCGTATATATATATAATAACATTTTTACTTTATTGCACGAATGTCAATGTGTATTAAACTACAGATCAAAATTTTATCCTGAATTATTAAAACCATTCCCTCAGGGAACGATCAAAATTTCTGATCATTAAATTTTGTTACGTTTACTAGAAAATAGTATACTGTGCCATTTCTTTTGCACAATTAAGTCAAACCCGAACATTGTATTCAGACTCTACCACCAGAAAAAACAGAATTTCATTTACGTGTATTCTCAAACATATAGCATTTGCATATTTCGCCTATATGGGCTTTATTTTTTAAATGTGTATAACTGATTGCCAAACATCATGGAAAATAATTTGCCGAACCTGAACATCATGTCCAGACTTTACCATCAGATACTCAGAGATAAATTTAACCAGAAAAAATCTGAAATCTTATTGGCTGATTATCTCATAATTTTAAAAAACTCGCAGAACTCTCTTAGAATTATCGAGGAACTGGTAGGAAATTAGGAAAATCTCATGTAATATGATTTATAGTACATCATGTCACAATCAATTTAACTGAAGCGCTATGCATATGCATATATATAAATATAAAATTAGCCTAGTCAGGATATGACCCTATATAAATCCCAATTGAATAAAATGAATTTGGATTTAATAATGTGTAGTCTCATTAAATCGGCTACAAATCAATAAAGTCAGTATAAAGCATTAAAACTGCTATAAATCTCTAATCTATATAAATTTGAATCTGATATTATCATAGTATAACTTGATAAAATCTTTACAAAATAGCTATAAGTCACTATAAAATATTGTAACTCTTAAACAGCTTATTATTATAATTGAGTACATTTATTATGTTTGACTTTAGGAGACAAGGTTTTATTGATAATAATTATGAGGAGTATGTCGAGTATATTATGATGCATTACATTTAAAGATGGGTCCTCAATTGATTTCCAAAATCCGCAATATTGCAGATTTTAGAAATCATTTGCGCTTAGTAAGGCCTGACCAACTAGAATCTGTATTTTACATAATATAAGAGATCAAATCCAGGAGGAGAAGGGTCAAAAAAAAAATACAAATGTAAATAAGTACAAAACTGATTTATTTAGTATACTGTGCCATAAATTTTGATTTTTATAATAAATATTATCTTGCAATTTATGTATAAAGCTTATTTTGTAAACAAAATAAACAGCAATTAGCAAAATATTAACCAAATTTTATTACAAATCAATTATATTATAATTTTACTATGTATTTACGTTGCAATAAATATTTTTCTAATCTAAATTAGCTGGTTTTTCTTCGCTTATTATTATTTACTTTAACTTCTAAATAAGTACTAAATTCTTTGCCTTTATCCTGACATCTTTGACATAGTGGATATACTATTTTATATTTGGCTATTAATGTACTTGGTGTAAGGTTACTGGAGAAACTAGGGGGTTTTGGCAAGTTGGCAAAATGCCAAAATAGCGAAACTTTGCCAAAACTATATGAAAGTCTTATTAAAAAGTTGGTGAAACTCTGGAGAAAAGTGAAACCTGCCGAAACTTATTATAAATGCCAAAACTGCCAAAACTTTGCTAAAACTATAATAAAACTATAGTAAAATCTTGGAGAAACTAATCGTAGAATTTTGGAGAGGTTTAGGCAGGCAACCTTAACTTGGTGGATCAATTAAATCATTATTTGCATTACAATAATAGCATATATCAAAATTTCCAGATTTTCAGCTAGAATAGTAAAGAATTTCTATAGAGGTGTCACAAGATATTTTTACACGAATAAATAATACTTCTATCAAGTAATGATCATCAGGAAATAGAGGTGCGCCACATGAATAGTCATATGCATTCAAAGCTTGTTTGAAATCCTGCATCTCCTCTTGACTTAATGCTTTATCACTAAAAATAGCGCTGCTTTCTACAATCACAACATGTAACATAATCATGAATTTTTCCTCTAATTAATACTCCTTTTAGCGCAGGTTTAGCATTAGCTTGGTTAATTTGCAATGTTGGATGAAATTCTTCACTAGTTTCCGTTCCATAAATAATATGAAATGAAGAATAATGATCTGGATTGCCTGTAAAAATATATAGTAGCTTTTATAAGATATAATATAAAAAATTATTAACATAAAATATAAATATACCTTTTGCAGGAATTGGATCAGGTAGAAAATGTAAACTATCAAAGATAATTTGTAGAAGGCGTATTGGTGTACATATGCCACATGACGGGTCTTAGTAGTTTTTTATCTAAAAAAATATAATAAGAATATTAAATTTAAATAAACTGTATATTTATTTAAAAAATAAAATCATACTTAAAAAGAATAAGCACGTTCATGACAATGAATTTTTATAAAATTAATCAATTTTTTATGTTGCATTAATTGAACTTATGTAGTATTATTACGAGTCAATAAAGACTCAATCTTTGACATAAACTATATAGAGTGTAAATTTTGTATAAATTTAATGGATATTAAATGAATTATGTGATATAAAATATAAATATTCATTCATTCTGAGTCCTCTGCTTACTTCAAACAAGCCATTAATATCTTGTTCACTTGCAGTATTATAACATTTAAAAGGTTGATCTTTTAAAACTAATCTTTCAGAACGGCTATGTAATAAATTTTGAATATCTTTGATGCAATCTCATAATTCCCTTTCTAAATTGGCATTTTTATTTGCACTTTCACAAATTTCATCAAGTGTATTAACCTTATCAAAAAGAGCTTCTGATTCCTCATTCATTGTATTTCGCTTAATTGCTACATTTTGAAGTCCTAAATTCAAAATACTCATTATTCTTTCTGCTAGGTTTGTCCAACTATAATGAGGTGCTGTCCGCACTGCAATAAGCATATCATAATCTCTACTTAAAAAAAGACTGATTAAAGCAATTTGAACTGAGCCATAAGTACATCTATGATCAGGTCTTCTATCTGTATATAAACACAAAATTGGTGGAGAAGTATGATAGGTATACTTTGTATTGATAACGTTATGAAATTCAGTTGTATGCCGAATAGCACTACTAAGCTCAAAAACAGTGTCTTTAAAAGATACAAAAACCTCTCTATTATAAAATCCATCTGATATATCTTTTGGAATTGAAACAAAAAAAATGACTGAAGGTGTTAAAGAAAGTTTTGTAAAATCATGGTCAGCTACATCTAAAGTACTATTTTGTGCTGCTAATGATTGACGATTGTGTACTCCAGTAGAAACAGGCATACCTTTACCAATAGGAACTTTATGCTTATCATCAGCTAATATAAAACATACATATTATCGATATTGAATTAAAAATTCACGTAAATAATGAAAAAGTGCTGCATAGTAGTGGGCATCTACACTTTTTTTACAAAGAAGTCTACCTTGTACCTTGAATTTAACTTAATATCTTTCTGTATATTGTATAGCTTTTATTGCCATAGAATTTGTTGGCCAAAATTGCAACTAAATCCATTCATATGATGGTATGTGAATTGCTGCTGGAAGAGGTTCACCATGCTTAATATGTAGTCTTGCTAAAATTATATTATGAAGATCATGTATAGAAATTGCCAAAGACATATGCATAATTGTATTATGCCATCGATTATCTACAGCAGGTGTTTCCTTTATAATTAAATTTTTTGTTATTAATAAATTTTATTTATAAAAAATTTAATTTAATTTCAATAAAAAAAATACCTTATTAAAATATAGATTTAATTCTTCCCAAAATGGATCAAATTTTGTTCCCTTAAATCCACTATTTACTCACAAATCAAATATTATTGACGGATCTTCTAGTGCTAATATTAATCGTAATCTTTCTTCAACTTCACGGCTAATAGCATTTGATGTAGTAGCTGCATCACCAGTAAGGTCAAAATATAACATTTGTAATACAGCAGGAGTAACTGTTTTTATTAAAGAATACTGCATAAATAATATATATAAATATGTTAATAAATTATATAAAATTTTACAATTTACATTTTTTAAATTTTTAATTTAATTAGCAGTATTTTATTAAAAACATTTTTTCTCATCTGCTGAGTAAAGTATTTAGGCAATTCTTCATGAATTTCAGCTAACATGCAAACTTTTTCAGTTTCATCTTAAAATTTATTAATCATTTCAAATTCTGGTATTTTTCATACATACGTTATTGTACCAAGATAATTTTCTTGCGCATATCTAAGAAAATAGAATTATTAACATTAATAATAAAATATTAATAAATAATTACAAATAATTATAGCTTACATTACCTATAAATTCCAATTGGACAAGTTAATTGAAGATTTTTAAGATATCGATAACGCTTCATAATGTCTATAGGAAGATAAGAATAAATATCCATATATTGATAAAAACCACATCGTAAAATCACATCATTTAACTCTTGATATTATTCATTAAGATCATCTTCCTTACAACTAAGAACTTGAAACATACTAGCATTATTTGCTGAATTGCGTGCTGATTCATCATTATAATGAATGGCAGCCATTATTGTTTTACTTTTTACAAGATGTTCACTATATTTTCACATAATTTCTATTAAAGAAATTATAGCAGGAATAGTATTATTCCATTCACTATTATTTACCCAAGATTGACCTATAGAAAGTTCTAATGATTCAATTAAAAGATTCAGCTTCTGATGTGAAATGGATTCTTTCTTGTGATGGCTAGTATAATATGCGAGGTTATATGTATTTCTATCAGTATTATCACTTGCATATATTGCCAATTCTTTAAAAAATGAAGGCATATGACAGGAACGAGATTGTAATAATTTTAAATATGGATCAATGTACCAAAGAGCATTTGCAACATGTGTTACAAATTCTTTTTCTAAAGTTTGATGAATACCTCCTTTTCAACCAACTTTGTGATTACATAAAAGATCAATGATTTCATTATATAATAAATAGCGTCTAGTATGTTCAGTACAGTGCTGTGAAAGTTTTAGTTGTTGTGTATTTCTTATCATAATGTCAAATGCATCAGGAAAACTAGGTGGATTTATATCTCTCATAGATTCTATAAGAAGCGAAAAATTTACATAATTATATTCTAAGACTTTCATAATTTTAAGATCACTATTTAAACCATCACTTACTTCTACCCATTTGTCAGTCTTATTTTGATGAACATAAACCTTAGCACCTTTATTATTAAACTGTCCAGAAGTAAATGTTTTATATAACTCTGAATAAGATTGCTTGCCGAAACCTAGGGGTTTAGGCAAGATGGCGTTTTGCCGAAAAGCGAAATTCTGCCAAAACTATATTAAAGTTATATTAAAAAACTGGCGAAACTTTGGAGAAAGGCGAAACTGCCGAAACTTATTATAAATGCCGAAACTGCTGAAACTCTGCCGAAACTATAATAAATCTATAGTAAAATTTTGACGAAACTAATCGTAGGATTTTGAAGAGGTTTAGACAAGCAACCTTAACTCTGAAAACTGTGTATTTTCTATAATTGTGATTATTCATTCAGGTAGTACACATTTAACATTTTTAGTAACTGTTACTATAAGATATAACATGTTGTTTATACATTTATAAACATATTTAACACGTCTATTAGAAATTTTGCCATGTTTTATTTATAAAAATAACAGAAAATAGTTCTATTTATACTTTTCAGTAGAATTAAAAAGTCAATGTCAAAATATTACAGCATAGCCAAAACAATTACGTCAGTACAAATATTTACTAATAAAACATATAATTACAGCGAATTACGGCATTTTAATTATGTCTGTCATAATTCAAAAATTCAATTCCGCTGATAAGTATAGTTTTATTATAAGAAATACTTTACGTGACTAAAAGTAGAATATGATACTGATAATCTACCTGATAATTCTTTGATCGAAATCACATGACTATTAAATTTTGCAATTTTATTGGTTAGATATGTTGTATAATAATAGTAGGTACCAATCACAAAAAACAGGGGGGAGGGGTTATGTAAACTGTAAATTCTAATTAGCCAGGCCTAATCTGCAAATTCGCAAATAATTTATAGTATTGCAAATAATTTGCAAACCTGCAAACCTGCAAATCTGCAAATAATTTATAGTATCACAAATAATTTGCAAACCTACAAATAATCCGCAAATCCGTATAGTATCGCAAATAATCTGCAAATTCACAAATAATTTACATTATCACAAATTTGCGAATAAGTGGACAAAATCCACGTTTTAGTATATAAATAAATTTGGTTATATTTAATTGCTAAGATTAAATTAACATGATTTATGAGTTTACAAAATGGACAAAATTGTCCACTTTTTAGTATATAAATAAATTTGGTTATATTTAATTGTGAAGATTAAATTAACATGATTTATGAGTTTACAAAATGGACAAAATTATCCACTTTTTAGTATATAAATAAATTTGGTTATATTTAATTGTGAAGATTAAATTAACATGATTTATGAGTTTACAAAATGGACAAAATTATCCACGTTTTAGTACTATCTAACTGTTACAATTGAAACAAGTTTTTTACCATTTCTAGTTAGTATAATAAAACTAGAATAGTTATCAAATTCCAGTTTAATTTATTAATAAATATTAGTCACGCATTAGACGTATTACCGAAATTTGATTATATGATAATAATTAATATATAGGCGTTTTGCAGTAAAAAGGACTAAAAAAAATAAAAAATAAGTTAATATAAAATCTGAACAAATTATAGCATTTAGAATACTTTTGGCATATAAAAGAAAATTTGAATTTTTTTAGTAGTTTCATCTAAGGTTGCTAGGCGAAACTAAGTAGTTTAGACAATTGTTGAAATTGAAACTAGTTGAAACATTTTATTAAAAAATTAAAAATTTATGAAACTGCGAAACTGATGAAACTGATAAAACTGTAAAAAGTTTAGACATATTTTTACATAGTAATTAATAAAGTTTACCATTTATTATAATAAATTATATAATTTAATATAAATTTAACCAGTTTTGCAATTATACAATTTAATATACATTATATTAATTATTTAAATCATTATATATATTAAAATATATAGTAAGTTTAATTAATAACCAGTTTTATAATTTACTTTTTATATATTATTATTAGTACAGTCAGATCTCTATATAGTTATTTAATCAGTTCTATAAAAATTAGTAACTATATAGAGGCTTTTACTATAATGTAATTATATAAAGGTTTTTTTATATAATAAGTATATAAATTGTAGTTTTCTAAAGGTGTAATTATAAGGAGAAATTTTTATGATGTAACTATATGAAATGTTACTATATGGAAGTCTAACTATATTTATTAATAATTATATAATATTTATTTATAAAAAATTTATTTAAATATATATAATAATGTATTAATAATTATTTATTTTAAATTTTATTAATTAAAAAGTTAAGACATAGTTTAGACATTTAGCTATTGTCGAAACCTTAAACTATTACTAATTAAAGTTTAGACTTTTATCAAAAGTTAAAATGAGTTTAGCCAAGCAACCTTAGTTTCATCCCTTTTTACTGCAAAGCGTCTATATGATCAACAATACATTCTATTGATTAATCACATGTGCAGACAGACATATTTTGCATTATAATGTATCTAACCATTAATGTTTTTTACTATACTTCAGATAATTATACAGATCCTACACTAAATTACCGGATTTCATAAAATTTACTTAGTAATATACAGTAAAATTGATGATTTTTGGGCTGCATAAAAATTTATGAGTCCACAATAAAATTTGGCCAAAATTTTTTTATTGAAAGCCAATTAATTATAGTTTTTAAAAATGTAATCAGAAATATTCTATTTTTAAAATGCAAAAAAATATTTATTTGTAAAGTAATAGACAAGATATTTTATATGTAAAAATGAAAAAAAACATATAGAAAAATTATTGCTTATACTTTGCAATGAGAAAATTTTTTTATATTTTAAAAATTTTTCTTTTTTTAATAATTATAATTGATTGGCTTTTTTTTAAAAAAAAAACTCTAGTTGAATTTTATTAAAAATTCATAAACTTTTATGCAGCCCCAAAATCATTAATTTCACTATATATTACTAAGTAAATTTTATAAAATCTGGTAATTTAGTGTAGGGTTTATATAATATATATAGTATAATATACACTACTTGGACAAAAGTAGCGGGAATTCATATTTTATTAATTACTTGAAAATGTACATAATAATAATACCTAAAATTTTAATATGTGATGATGTAGACAATACAGAATATATATTCAAAATTTCATTGTTCTAGCATTCATACAACTACATTAATTAAAGAAAACTCAGAAAGAAATTTTAACAATTATCTATATATTATATAATAAAAATAAACAAATAGTCTGATACTGTCAGTTTATTAGGAATTATACATAATAATTATAACAGAAATTTTAATATGTAGTAGTACAGGTTCTTTAATTAATATATATACATCAAATATCTTTTTTCTAGTTTTTGTTTTTATATGGATTATAAAAAAAATGGAGAGAAAATTAAATTATAAAAACAATAGTACTGTTGCTAATTACCAAATTTCTTTTTTTAATTAACATAGTTGTATGAAGGCTAGAACTATGAAATTTTGAATATATATTCTTTATTATCTATGTTATTATATATTAAAATTTCAAGTATTATTAATATGTATGTTTTTGAGTAATTAATAAAATATGATGAATTCCCGCTACTTTTGTCCAAGTAGTGTATAATTTAAGGCTTTTTGAAATTTTTACAATTTTTTTTAATAGATATATATAGTATATATTTATACACATATATATTAATTTTAATATTTTACAAATAGTTTTTTTATAAGTAAAGGTTATAAACTATTTATAGGAGAAGGGGCATTGCTATTTACTTTGCTATTTATAGTGAAAAAATATTATAAATATCTGTATAAAATTATAGTTTTAAAAGCTTTTTTATATATATAAATTACATAAATAGTGAAATAAAATTTGAGTCAATCAGATTGATCTAATTTAATAAATCACGTATTGATTTATGTTACAAAATATTACTTTAAAATCATTTGCATTGACAAATTAAAAATAGTTAAATAAACCACTGATTTTGAAAGGTGGCCGTTAATTACTAAAGTAATGTAAAATTTATCTATGATAAAAGTTTTGAATTTGATGTGATTTTATGATGTGCAAAAAAAAAAAAGAAATCACTAATAATGTAATCAATTCATATAAAATAAATGAAAGTGCAATGATTTTCACTCTTCGTTTTCTATTCTTATTTCTCCTGATTTTGATTATCAACATTTTCAAGAGCATACCTATAGAAATAAAAATAAGTAAGAAATAATTGGATAAATCAATCAACAAAAGAAACTTACATTTTAACTTCAAATAATTCTTCCGGCATTCCATGTTGTATTTCTTCTTTTACAATTTTTAATCCAGATTTTTGAAAAATTTTTTTATAAATTTCATCTGATCTGTGTAATTTATAAGGATATTTTAGCGAATAAATAATTAGTTAAGAATAAGTATATATATGTTAATCATTTTAATTTGCAAATTTTTAAACGATAAACGTGCCTGGTAACACTACTATCAGTTTCATCAAATTGATAACCAATCACAGAAACATTCTCTTTAACTCCAATTAAACCTTTAGGTTTTAATCCTTTTTTACATCTCTCAAAAAATTTGATTAAGTCATCATCTTTTAAATGTCCAAGCACCCATTGACACCAAATTAAATCATATTTTCCTTCTTTCGGCATAAATTCTTGTAATCCACTGCAAATAAATTCTCCAATTCTACCTTCCTCTTTTTCTTTTTTAAGGAAATCATTTTCAGCTTGTTTAATAAATTTTGGCGTATATTCTACTAAGTCAACTTTTTTAAATATTCTTAACAAAAAATGTTTTGTCACTCTTCCTATACCAGCTCCACAATCGCACGCATATTCATCACTTATTCTTGGGGAAGATATTATTCTATTACGTGCTCCTTTTTTCCCATATATATATTCACTAATAAATAACCTCGAACCTTCTACATCTATTTCATCTATTTCGCCATATCCTCCCAAAACTCCGTCTATTGTCGCTGGTTTTTCTGACCAGTACTCTATTATTATTTTATTTAGAAATTAATTTTTATTCTCGAAAAAATGGCGTTTGAGGAAAAAGTTAACAATTTTACCAAGTGCATCAGTATACCAGTCCTCTTTTTGAAAGTCTGGAGTCTCTTTATCTTTTGACTACAAAAAGAAATGTCAATAAGGTAAAAAAAAGAGAAATAAATTATATCTTACATTTTCTTCGCTCATGAGTAAATGTCAACAATTGATAATCCGCACGATAATCTCACGCGTCATTGTTTTATTAGACAAAACGTCGATCCTCACGTGACTTATTTGGACACTATTTATGCATAATGATAAAATACAACTAAGACAACTAAAAGCTTGGCAGTTTACAAGTTTACATCACATCGCAATAGGTAGGAAAAAATCTCTTGGCAACTCATTTCGCAATGCTACAATTCGATTTTTTTCAAGTTTGGTCAAACTAAATTTTATAAATGGACGTTGGACGTTAAGTGTCTATCCCTTATTTGTATAGTAGGATCTTAAAAAGGATTACAAACAAATAGAACACAGAATAAATGAATAAATTAAGCCAATATTCATGTGCACAATTATAATGCATTGTAGATTACTCCTGAAGGAAATTTCGTCTGTATAAGCATTAAACAGTATAAGCCCATAAATGTATGAATTTTCTATTCTTTATAAATAAAAAAATGATTTTTTCATACCACCGCGTTAAGATAATATTATGTCTGAAAAACCATTTCCAGTTGACGCGTTTCCGAAATCTCCATTTCCAGATGGTTTAATTAGTATTTCACTTTGGGATTTTGGTTCTTTTGAACCTCTTACTTATATTTATTTTAATATAGCATTTGTTATAATTGCGTATCCGTTATATAGAATTATAGGCGGATTTTTTCGTTGGGAATTAGACGTTAAAACACCTTCAAATCATTTTAGTGACATGATGGCACTTGTTAGATATGGTTTTATCGTATTTGTTCTTGGTGGTTATGCAAGAACCTTCAAGTACGTAATTTCTTTTTTTATTAGTTTATTAATAAACAGATAATAATCATTAAATTTTCTCTCGATTTATATACAGCTGGATTATGATATTATCTTTTTATCTTGCATTATTTGGATTTGCTTTATTATCAGAACTTCCATTTGCAAAACAATCATTAATAACGTGGCGTAATTGGACAATTAAAATGTGGATGTTATTTGTAGCAGCAGTTGTCGCCGTATTAGTAATGGCTGGATTTCACATTTATTTAGCTATACAACTAATGAATGTAAATAATTTTAGAGAAAAAAATGATGTATATATAGCTTGGTATTTAGGAAGTTTAGTAATACTCCCAATTTTAATGATGTTTGCATTAATTGCAAAACAAGAACAAAATACACGATTTTTAACAAAATTTTACTTAAAAGTGATAAGTATTTTTAAAAGGATGCCCAAAAAACAACAGCCACTAACAAACGAGAATGGATCAGAAACACAACAACAAACTGATACTGAAGCTCAAAATGCTACAACTGGAACGACTCCCGATGCAGAACCTGAACAGCCTCAACCTTATAACAAAGTGGCTAGAATTCATCTACATCATTGGCAAATATTTTATTCTTTAGCTTTTTTTACTAGATTTAATCATCCCATTTCTCAAGTTGTCGGTGGTATAACTTTAGGGATTTATACTCAAGGAATTGGAGCGTAAGTAAAATAAAATAATAATCATCGCCCATATAGCTAAGGCTAATGGAGATATAATTTTCTTACTTTTTTTTTAATTTAATGAAATCATTATTTTTATAGGTATGGACCTGATAATTATCTAGAAGAAACATAAATAATACATTGCTTATAGAGATGGCCCTATAAATTTAATACTACGTGAAATCAACAGTGATTTCTAAAATGGTATAATATATTTAATAAATATCCATTGATTATTAATATTAAAATTATCATACAATTTTATAGAAAAAGAATTCAAAACTTACCTATGATATAATATAAAAAATCATAAATGATCTATATATAAAAATAGAATAATCTGTTAACAGAATTTTAATAATAATACATGATACTTATTCTTAGTAATATTACACAAAAAAATATTTTTACCAAATAAGTATAAACCTAATATCTTTTAAGTTAAGATTTTACTTTATTTAATAATTATTATTTTATAAATAAAGAAATTTGAAATATAACAAATATAACTGAAATTAAAACATTTATTACCAATTTATAAGTTTATTCCTATTTTTATATTTAAAAAGTTTATAAGTTATTAATTAAATTTCTCAATATAAAGTTAAAATAATGCATCCTTTGAACTTAATAAAAGTTGTAAAACTAGTTAAAATATATGTAATATTAAAGTATATAATTAATTAATTAAATCAAAACTGTATATGAATTTATAAAAAAAGTAATAAACTACTTATTAATAAAGAATTTGTTTAGAGTCAGTCACTGTGTGATATGTACGCAGTGCACATGATCAAAATTTTGCACACATCTTTTTTAGAAAGGATGTATGGCATGTGCACAAAAAATTTTGAAATATCCTCATGTGATTGGATGCATATGTATTACAAGAATCCCGCTTACTTATAATAAAAGTCACCGTAGAAAATTGGCCTTTACTAATAGTTTTTACCTTACTTTTTTCTTAAATTCTATTGGTTAATTAGCTAAAAAGGAAAAAAATCATAACAATGTAACATAAAATTTACTTTTATAGTAGGATCTGCAAAGAATTTTATATATGATTTTTATCTTAGGCTTGGAGGTGACCTATCTTATAAGTAAGTGAGGTCCTGTATTACAGTACCTATTATAGTAGTATAGCCATACCACTTTGCCGCACAGTAAGATTCAATAAATTGTGTGCTATCTGCACAGTAACTTTTTATTGAAAAATTAACACTGTTTAGAGTTGCTCTTTCTATATTGTATATTCTAAAAGTATCCATTTTAAAGGTTTTTTCCAAATATCTGCATATTATTGTAGCTTAAGTTTTCATCTTCTTTTATGATTAGCAAGTAATATATTAGACCATTTTGTGTTAAACAAAGTATAATATAGTGAAAATAATAAAGCTTTGTATATTAAAAGTGTTTTTCTGCTAGAACTAAATTTAAAGTTTTAATAAAGTACTTAAAATTATATTTAAAGTTAAAAGAAAATTATTATTTTTTTAATAAGATTATTTGAATTTATAGAAAATAAATGGAGACATAATTTTTATTTAAAAAGTACATTTTATTTATAATTGTAATTTAAAAAAATGCTAACTATTAAATCATAATACTACAAATAGAATTTTGATAAAAAATAATTTTTATTTATTTATTTTTTTTTTTTTTGCTAATCACAATACATTTACAAATTTATTAAAATACATATTAGTAATTATACAAAAATGTAAAAAACTAACTATTTTAATATTATTAACTTGTAAATCATTTGTCATTTCTTTCAGAAATTTCATATATATACTATCAGATGTTTATACTTCATACTGGCTAATTAAATAGGTAATATATTAAATTATACATTATCTTAACAAATAAATGCCTGATGTTATTATCTGTTAGACTATAAAATTTAATAATTTTTATTTTACAACTATATACTGTATTTTTTTCAAAATTAATTACCTTTCAAAATTAAGTACTTCTAAGTTTTACCAATTTTTTGAACTTTGATAAAAAGATTTTTATATAAAATATTAGTAAAAAAACTTTTAAAATTAAGTACATCTCATAAGTTTTTTAATGACTAATTTTGAAAAAATATGGTAATTATATAAATATAATAAAATAATTATTTAATTTATATCAATATAAAATTTTAGTTATAGCTAGTTTTTTTTTTACCTTTTATCCAAACTACCATTTTCTTCTATTTGAATTTCTTTTTAAAACAAAAATGCATTAAACTATTAAAAATAATGTATAGTAAATATTTCTGAATATATATAAAGTTTTTATTTAAAGCTCTAAATGATCTGGATTAGTCTTGGTTGAAAAGTAATTCAGGATCAAACCAAAAAAATTGCTTCATTTCAGTATCTAAATTATATTAAAAAAAATAATTAAGGATTGGTTTAATCCTATAATAAAAAATATTGTGAAAATATTTTTTAATTATAATTACTTTGAACAATGGTTCACAACATTTTTTTGTTATAATATTGCAAAAATATTTTTTAATTAAAATTACTTTGAAAAATATTTTGCAATATTTTTTTCATTAAATTAATTATAAAAATGTTGCACTAGTTGAAAAAGGAATATTCAGTCTTAATACAATTTAGCTTATATTTGACTAAAATTAAAAAATTTAACTTCAATTAATAATAATTTATGATTAGACATATATTCAACCTTGTTGAATTATGTTAATTAAACATTATGTGTTACACATTACGTGTATTAAAAGTTTAAAAAAGGATTATTTTATTGCATTTTTTTTTAAACTTTTTTAATTTTCTTTTTTCCTCTTTCCCTTTCTTCATTTCCTTCCTTTATTTCCTTTCCTTTCGTTTCTCTTTCCTTTTTTTTCTTTTTCCCTTTCTTTGTTCTTTTTTTTCTTCCTTTCTCTTTTCTTTCCTTCATTCTTCTTTCCCTTCTTTTCCTTTTCCCTTATTCTTTTTCCCTTTTTTCTTTTCTTCCTATAGCTTTAAAACTTTTTTGGTTATATGGTTTATGGTATTTTGAAGGTATATACCTTCGAATTTTTACTTTTTTTTAACGAAACATTTCACTAAGGTTTTCATTTTTTTCTTTTGTAGATCTAAGACATTCATTTAGAAGGCTTAGATGGACTTTTGAAGAACAAAAAAACCAAAGATTCGTAAATACGAATCTTGGTTTTTTTCTTTTTTTTAATATTATAAACGGTTATTAATAATTGTTCTTTTCTTTTTTTTTATATTCGGGTAGACTTCCAAATTTCGAAGAATAGAAAAAACCAAAATTCGTAAGTATATATGAATCTCGGTTTTATTTTTTTTATTTTTTTTTTAAAAAAATATTATGAATGGTTACTAATAACTGTTCTTTTCTTTTATTTTAGATTCGGGTGGACTTCTGAATTCTGAAGAACGGAAAAAACTAAGATTCGTAAGTATGAATTTTAGTTTTATTTTTTTATTTATTTTTTTAAATATTATGAACAGTTATTAATAACCATTCTTTTCTTTTTTTTAGGTTCTAAAGGACTTCTGATTTTTGAAAAATAAGGAACCAAGGTTCGTATTATAAATTTTGATTTTATTTTTTTTATTTTTTATTATTTTAGAATGGTTTACTAACTGTTTTTTTTTTTATAGGTTCAGTGGACTTTTGGTGAATGTGAAACCAAGATTCATAAAAATCTTGGTTTTTTATTTTATTTTTATTTTATTATTATAGAATGGTTTACAGTCAAATCTTGATATAGCAAACCCTTGATATAGTAAATTTTTCAGACAACTATAATAAATTTTCCCTTACTATAACGAATTAACCAATTAAATCTTTTAAAATCTTCATTATAGCCCTATAGCGAAGTTGAGGTTTGAAACCTAGAGTCCGTTATAATAAAGGTTAACTGTACAAAATTTATATATATAGTCGTCCTTCCCTATAGTCACCCCTATATATTCACAACTTCTCTTTGGTCACATTATTCATTGGTCCCAATTTTTTATATATAAAATTACTTCTTTATAATCACAATAGTTTTATAGTCATAATCATGCCAAAGTGTTAGCCCAAAGAAATAATAAACATAAGAAAAATTCCTTCTTTATAATCACTAACCAATTATAATAAGTTATAAAGTAATACAAATTATCACC